GCCAGCCGGGCAGAGGGGGGCTCTCGCCCCCCCCCCCCCCCCAGGGTGTTTTCCCCCGGGGGGGGTCACCCCCAAAATTGTCGGGTGGGTGTCGCGCCCCGGGGGTTATAACCCCCGCCCACATAAAAGGAAAAAAAAAAAAAAAAATTCCCGGGGGGGGGGGGGGGCTGAAATTTACACTCCATTCAAAGCCCAAACTCGAAAAAAGACTCCCTATGCGAGGAGCTGAACAAAGGATACGAATTTGAAAATAAAGAAATGATCGTCGCGGTGAAAGCAATTTATGCAATTGCGTAAAGAAGCCTGAAAAAAAATTCAGGACTTCAATGGGGTTTGAACACGTGACCTCGCGATTACCGGTGCGATGCTCTACCAACTGAGCTATGAAGCCACTGACGTTGGGAGCAGGTCAATTGTGGGTTCATATGTTCCCGTGAAAGAAATGAGTGTTAATGATATATGATACGAATTTAATGCAAACAATTAAACTTTCATTAAATTGCTTTTACAATACTAACGGATGATTTCTTTATCGTGCAGCTGGTTATTTATGCCCTCGAATTTTTGCTGATGGACTTTGCGTTACCCTGTCCAAAGATCACACCAGGAACACAAGGCCAACAAGGGCAAAAATGATACAGGTCCAAGACCCTCAAAACTATACCCTACGGTACATACCGCAAAATTCCGAAAATAAGCCCCGGGGCTTACATTCGGAGGGGCTTATGTACGGAGGGAAATTTGCATGTCAAAATCGATTGGGCTGGCCTTATTCTTGGAAGGAAATTTACCGTTTTTCTTTGTTTTACCTTGTATTTGAGGGCAATTTCCAAGTTCAAGTCCTCGGGGGTGGGCTTATATTTGGAGGGGCGTTTCAACGGAGGGTTTTTTGCGTTACGATTTTATCGGGCTTATGTTTGGAGGGGCTTATTTTCGGAATTTTAAGGTACTTATAGTAACTCCCCATCGCAGACTGAGTCAAATCAAAGAGGCTGCCATTTTGAATAAATCTCGCCCTTAGTAAGGGAATCCGAATTCTGGACGTCGAATCCGGTAAATTTTTGCATGTGGAATCCGGAATACAGCTCAAAGAATCCAGAATCCCACTAATGATTGGAATCCAGAATCCAAGACTGTACCGGATTCCTTTACATGGAGCGATAAATCACAAAACAAATATTGGAATAGGCTTTCGTATGATATGAAGAATTATACAGATCTCAGAGACTGTTCAGTCCCTAAAATGTTACTTTAAAAGATAAACCTTGCCGCGACAATCTATGTTGCAAACAGGCATTTTTTCATCAAGGTCGTCACCGGTTGTCAAAGTTTCCCCCATGCCCTTTTCTACGCAATAGGTTGCTCTTGTCCCCAAATCTTCTGCAGGCAGTGACTTAGGCTCAGTTTCCAGCCCTTGGTAGGGAGTACCGTGGGTGCACCAAGACACCCACGACTGGAGAATGAGCCTAGAAGTGACCCTGTTAACGCTTTCCGCTGGTAGCAGCTTGCAGCTTGCACCTATCCCGTAGTCATGGTGACCGTTGGGGCGCCACGGACCTAGCAACCCTTTCCCTCCATTTGATTTTCTTTTCAGCTTCTCTTCTCCGCTGGATAGTGTTCTGTAAAGTCTGCTTTTGAGCAAAATAGTCCGTAAGGCCGGAGGTTGTCTTTGGCTTCCATAGCATGAGGGTAGGATATTCGTATTTCCTGTAATAAGCGCCCACCCACTAATAAGCGCCTCCTCCCCTTCATCACTTTCTTAAACTGAGTAAGGACAATAGGAAGACTTGTTCCTATTGCCTCTTTGTTGATGAGATAATCGACATTTGATGATGATAATGGTAACGATGATGAGATAATCGATATCTTATTTACGGGAATAATATTGTAGTATTTTTGATTTTTCCAAAAGAAAGTTACAGCTCCTTGAAAGGAAAACTTAATAAACGCCGCTCTCTCGATATAGTGTCCTCCTTCCTATAAATGCCACTCCTTTTAGCCGAGATTTTAAGCTATGTTCACACGATGTCGGATAGCTTTTGCGTCGACACAAAATCCATACGAGATAGAGCTTCTTTTTACAAATAAAAACGGCGATTTCGCTGCACCACCCCGATCTCTAAAGTGAAGAGTAGCATATCTGATAGGTGTTCACACTACACAGCATAGCTTTCTGTGTCGGCAAGAGAAGCTATCCGCTACAGTTTAAACATAGTTTTAAATAGGTACCCAATGGCTTATTGAGGAAATACGGTATTTCTACTACTCTTCCTACGGGATGGTTTAAAGGGACTGGTTCACGATAATGCGCATGTGTTAGTTCTGACAGTAGCTGATTGTTTTTCAACCATTATAAACAGAATATTCAGGCAATAATTTATTTTAAAAACATCAATTCTTAAACATATACGATGGTAAAGCAAAGATACAAGGAACATTTCAAGTTTACCAGATCGGTGAAGATCGCGCGGCTTGTTGCGGTATAACTACAGGTCGGAGTCAAAAATCAAATCAAAGTTGAACGAAATCATGCCTTTAACCACTTTCCAAGTGTCCTGTATTCTTTTCGTAAGCCACACACTACTCCTAGAACCATACCAGATCGATAGGCTAAACTTCTCTATCTCCAAAGACTCTTGAGAACGTCCTGTTGCCGGACGGCCACGATGCTCTTTTGAACCTCATGATCAAAACATTATTTTTTGCGTCTTCTTAAAACGTCACCAGTCAAACGACACAACCACACGTTAATCACCACTACCGAAGTATAACTAGACCAGCCAAAGCGACGGATGT